AAGAAAAAAAAACCCGAAACACATCTCTTAAATAGAAAATAAACACAGGTTCAAAAAGAAATAATGCTAAAATACCAGAATGAGAAATCAAAATCCAAGTAAAAATGGGACGCAGTATTTCCAGATAAAAATTTCAACTGGCAACAAATTTATTAAAAATGCGTTTGATATTTGGTACGATAATATTTTTCGATTTTTTTTTATTTTCACTACTTACATAGAAATATTGCAACTAACCAATTTCTCTATATAATTAGGTGTAAATTAGTTTAGCCTTTGTGATTTTTGTAATATGGAAAGAGATGTCATAGAACATATATTTTGGACCTGTCAACAAACATATTAATTTTTTTGGAATGAATTGTTTAAATGGTTTGTTGAAATTGGTTATACATGCAACCCAAGATAAATGTTTGTCATTTTTTCATTCACGAAATAAGATTTTATCATATATTCTCTTATTATATATATATTTTTGTAAAACAAAAAAGAAAATACCAAATACTCTTGTGTTTAAAAAGAAAATTGCTTTAAAGAATATCCTTAGAAAAAGTACAAAGCATTTCAAAATGATTCTATTGATGATTTCAACAGTAGAATAACTTTCTAATAATGATATAAGTACTGATTGATGATATATCAGAAGTATATTACCAAAGCTTTCTTTGTTAATATTATTTTTTTTATCTTACCGTAGTTTGTTGAAAAAAAAAAGTTTTTTGTTTACTATATTTTTTCCGCAGATTATCCTTTTATATTATTTAGCATCCCCCCAAATTTACATCATTTTTCCAATTGACTCAAGAAAATTTTACAATTGACTCAACAAAAAAGCTCTTTTAAAATGTCTACATGTATTAACTCAACAACATTTGTATGTAATTTTGTAATGAATGTTATGTGAAAATATTAATTGAAAACGTGAAATGAATGTATCATGTGAAAAAGAAAATATAAATAAAAGGGCCTTAAAGCAGCATGCATCTAGATTCATCATTTCATAAAAAAATTGAAAATGTATTTGAATGTGTAATATTGTGAAGTAACCAAAAGGAAGCAATTTACACAATGACACTTACAAACCACGTAAATTACCTAAAAGGGTTCAAAATATGCATAAATTGCCTTTACTGCGTTAGTAACGCAGAAGAAGTATAGTTGTAAATACTAAAAAATCAGACATTATTCGTTCATAATATGTAAAATATTATTTAAATTTAGAAATTTTTCACTTTTCCTTACATTTTTCTCAAGTTTAATTTTCTTGAAATATTTTGACTCATCTGGAGGCATAAAGCTGTAAACGTGGTTAAAAAAATAATACTCATTTTTTTTCAAATTCGAACAGCTAAGTTTGTTTTCTTTGTAATTCACCGTGTCATTGACTTACTTTCAACAAAATTGTTTCCTTCTTTTCATTATTTTTTTTATTTCTCAAATGTTAACATGCTTGCGAAAAGAATGTTATCTTCTTATATCGACATTTTGTTTTTTTTCCATATGGGTTAAATTCTTTTAGTTCAGCTAAAATGTTATCTATACTGTCCTTTTCGTGTTTTTTTTGTTTCACTTCCGGGAATTTTATCTATTTAATCATCTCAAGTTTAAATTCAATGCAATGTTTTATTTATCCTCATTATCCTCGTGTCGTATATTTTAAATGCTGGCTTACATAGATTTTATTTTTAAGTTGAAAGTTTAACAGGTGTTCTTACGTTTCGTTTATTTTATAGCGGTAAGTAGAACATGAACTTACTGATCAAGAGCTAGTACGGTGTACCTCTCCGCACCGTTTCCGATTTTTTTTACTATTCCTCACACGATCTACCTTTATCTGATGAGTATATTTAATAAAAAAGTTACTGGCAAATGATTCTTATAATTTCTTTATTCTTATGTATGACGTCAGTTATGACATAATAAAGGTTCGATAAACTTCGCCACTTTCCGTATCCTTTATTTATTTGGAAAATTTTGAGTTAAGAATACTTTTATCGTTCTTACTCATATCAATAATTAAATATTAAAAAAAACGTTTGTTTTAAAATCCATTCAATTGATACAATGCGCGAAGAAACGGTAGTCTTCCGTACAGATGGTTGAGAGATTGATCAGATGAAAGAATCCAATGTCCCTGGCGGGAAGGGACCACGTGACTACCAAAGTTCTTCAATCAAGTCGACCATGCTTAAAAAGTTACTTTTCAATTATTTCATTTTTCAACGAGTATTTAAATTAGTCTGTTACTTTGCTGCAAAGCAGTTTTTTTTATTTCAAAACACTGTCACCGTTTTGGAAACCACCTGAACTTAAAATGTATTTTGTATATTTAAGTATCAAAATAGCAACACTTCCTGATTTCAAATTACCTATTTATTATAATCGTACTTTTCAAAAATTAGTGTTCGTTTAAATGTGACGGGTTTTGAGTTTATACCTTAAACTATATCGATAAAAAGGTGAAAATATTACGCATTATTAAAATTGAAAATATTACAAATGGATATTTGATTTGAAAAGGGGTATATGAACAATTTCCTAACAAAACAAAAACAATGCATCGACAATTAATTTAATTTGTTGTTACGGAAGAAGGATTTTAAACTTTAATCTTTCATTTTATTGTATATAGATAAAAAAGAATAATAACTAACGTACTATAACTATTACAATTTACTATTTTGTACTCTGACACTTTTTCTACAAATAAGAACACGAATAACTTGGCAATAAGATGTCGACGTTGTGAAAATAAAGAGAAAAGATAAATAAAATTGTAATGATAGTCACATGAATGTGAAATGGAGTAAAAAACATTTACAAAAACGGATCGTCACAATTATAAATTGTATTTTAAGATGAATTAGTTGGTTGGAATAACTGCACGGGTTTAAAGAAACAAAAAGGTATGTTATATTTATTGTTGTTATGTTCATATAGATATATACATCACACATTTTTAATTGTCTTGTATCAATGCATATGACAAAATGGCAAAACATTAATGCTGAATTTTTTTTATTCTTGATTAGTATTTCTATACACTTTAAATAGGCTAACACAGATTCGTTATTTTACGTTGTAAGGATTTGAAATAAAACAGTAAAAACACAGTCGGAAATCTTCATTTTCGACATCTACTGTTGGGTATTTGGTGCACGTTTTAGCCCCGCGGAGAGAAAAAGGAGAGCTGGTCGAGTGGTTAATGTTAAGGTGTCTGCCTCTCAACTGAGGGACCCTGCCTGCGACACGACCATAATTATGTTCTCACGTGACACACATACATGGTTAAGTTTCAGTAAAGGAACTCGAGTGAGATTTATTATTTAATAAAATATTGGATAGTGTTAACTTGTTTCCCAACCGATTATATACATATGTTAATTAACTAACACAGCTGAAGCTCTCAAGTCTCGAGCAGATATCATGTCTTTGGATTAGCAGTTGTTGTTTGATGAACATATCAGTTACAACTTGAGTTCTTATATCAAAGTGTTACAAAGACAAATGAGCCGCGCCATGACAAAACCAACATAATGGTGCGACCAGCATGGATCCAGACCAGCCTTCGCATCCGCGCAGTCTGATCAGGATCCATGCTGTTCATCTTCAAACCCTATAACAAGTAGAGAAACTGATAGCGAACAACATGGATCCTGATCCGACTGCGCGGATGCGCAGGCTGGTCTGTATCCATGCTGGTCACTAACCCATAATGTTGGTTTTGTCATGGTGCGGCTCAAATAATTGTTTTCTGCTAGTCTTTATACTAGTGTATTTCCAAAACTTGAGTTCCAGTCATATACAATTTAATATTTTATGTTGGTACATGATAAATGACATAAGAAGGTGATGTACGATCTGTCAATTTCTGATCTGGGTTACAATGAATGAATAAAACATAATTTATAAAAACAAGTAACCATATTTTTTTAATTATTTTTTTTTTATGTAGATATATGAATTTATCAACAAATATTTTCGATTGTTTTGCAAAGCGAACAAAAGTGCTATGAATTTTAAATTGAACAGAAAATAAATTACTTTTAAATAAATAAGCAAAATTCTCGATTATTGAATAAACGTGAATTTTTTTTTATCAATTTATCAATTAGAAAAATATACATGTACCATTAATAATAATGGTATACGTGTTGCAATCGAGTGTTAGGGCACCAAAAGACCTGGGGGATGTAGCTAATATATAAAATAAAACAAAAAAATCTTTTTTTCACTTTATTCCAATTTGTTTATAAATATAAAAAAGTAAGAAAATGTCAAATGAAATGGAAAATTGACCAAAAAAACAAACAACAGTTAATATATAAATTAATAAATGGAAGTAATGAAGTTCAGTTCAATTTGAAAACTCACATCAGTATGGCGGCTGATTTATGCTACGTCGTATTTTCGTTCCGCAGGCGCCATGCAAAAACACGAACTAAGTGATTGAATACTTTGTCGTATTTTCGTTTTTTTTGTGATTTCGCCTTGCGCCCAAAAGTGTTCCCTATATCGTATTTTTGTGCTTTCTTCTGGCTTCCAGTGGAGCAAAAAAAAACGACATGGCACAAGTCGGCCACCATACAGCAGCAACAAAAGTCTTTGTCTCCCAAAGGATGCTTCTTTAATTAGGTCGTACTGTACTTGTAAATAAAATAGATTGACTAATTTACTGATGCCTCGATATTTTTATATATTTTTTTACACCTCATAATTTCATTCTTTGTACATATCTTTAGTCAATAAAGAGTTTTTTATTTTGGATTAAAAATCGAATAAAGTAAGAATAAATCAATAAATCTAGACATAGATCAAATCAAACAAATCAATCAAATAGAATATTAAGCAAGTAATAAAAAAATCAAAATAGAGAACTGACAGGTGATGTCTAATGAAACTACATACAATTGGAAATGTTAAATCTATTTCTTTTCTTGATATTGTATGAGATAGAGACGTCGGGTAGGAGCGGTGAGCTTGTAATTCATTTAAAATATCGTGTTTCACAATCACGTGTATTTTAGAAGAAAGAAACACGTGATCCTATTGTTAAGACACCTACCAATGAAAAAACTGGGTATATATGGTTGACTTTTTTCCTTAACAAGCCAAACTTCCTTATAGTTGACAATCCATACAAAATATTTGATAGGCTAGACTCGTTTTTCTTTAATATTAAACTGAATTTTTAACATAACTAGAGGTAACAAATTTTTATTTTTAATTTGCATTTATATGTTTTATTCATTAAGCAATATCTAAAGTATTAAAATGATTAAAAAAAATACAAAATGCATAAAACAATATGATTAACTTAATAATCATTTTGACGTTGTTGATTATTATTATTATTATTATTATTATTATTATTATTATTATTATTATTATTACTACTACTATTATCATTATCATTTTTATTATTAAAATTTTTATTCTTTATTAAATATACTACAGAAAAAATACTAGTAAACTTTTTTTTTAACTTTTAAAGCAGCACGCATCCATTTTCGTATTAATTTCATGAAAAAATAATTATTTTCTCAATTTTTTTATACCATTTGATGTGTCTCTACCAATAACTTGTGAGTAAAATTTTAAATCATTCGCTCAATCCGTTTTCAAGAATAATAATTTATTTTGTGCAAAGTGACCTGAGATAAAAAGCGTTTATAAAAACGCGTTTCATTCAATTTAGACTCAGAATCGCAAAACCCACACACTTAATACCGATTTTCAATCTAATTCTTAATATATTTATCATTTGAGCCGCGTCACGACAAAACCAACATAGTGCGTTTTCTACCAGCATGGATCCAGACCAGCCTGTGCATCCGCGCAGTCTGATCAGGATCCATGCTGTTCGCTATCAGTTTCTCTACTTGTAATAGAGTTGCTAAGCGAACAGCATGGATCCTGATCAGACTGCGCGGATGCGCAGGCTGGTCTGGATCAATGCTGGTCGCAAACGCATTACGTTGGTTTTGTCATGACGCGGCTCATTTCTTTATTTTTACGTATAAGTGTCCCAACTGATCCATGTAGGATGTTTCTAATTTTATGTTTTAGGTTCTCCTTTAAGGCACTCGCTGTCAATGACCTTTTAATTTGTCACAATGTGCAGTAAGTTTGAATTTGTAATTCCGTTAGTAACGGGTGATAAATGTTGTTAATTCTGTCAGATTGCAAACTCTCACCAGGATTTGACTGTACACACATTCTTTTAAAGATACTCTTACATTTTATATAGTTTTTTTTTTAATTTACTTTACTTTTCTGTTGGAGTGCAAATACAAATGTAGAATATATCCCGTATTTTAATTGTAAACGTTTCGATAATTTTTTTCTCTCTCAAAATATACGTTATTGCCAGTATGTTTCAAAAGTAATTATAAATAAAACTATTCAATGAAATTGATTTATACCAGAACTATGTAGTATACAAGAATTTAAATCACTTTTTCATTCATTCTCAGTCCATTTTGAATAAGAAGTTAATTTATTTAGCTATCCGAATGATTCATTAATTGTTGTCTCCGGAATAAAAAAAAAACTATCTGGTTGCTGATTTAATTTAACAAATGTTTTACATTTGGATATTAGAAAATATATATATACCGGTATATAAAAAAATGTGTGGACCAACTCATTATTTGGTGGTTAAATTACAAAATAAAATATAATATTGAAATGTATATAAACGGCATTTTAATCTCGAAATAAAATTATATAAATATACTTTAACAAACTAATCAAACTAGTTTTAACATGAAATGAAATTACGATCAAATATATAAAAAAAATATTATTAGATATGCATGTATTTATGAAAAATCAAACACAATATTTATGATTGATTTTCTTCAAAGCAAAATAAACTAATTTTGAAAGTGTTAGAATACCTTTATTGAATATATTATAAAAATGCACGATTGTAACGTCAGTTTTCATTGGATAATCGTGACGTTTATATTTATTTAGTTGAAATCAATGGACTTTATATCTTATCAATGAATTGTCAAAAAAAAAGGAAATGCATTTAAAACTTGCCATAGAAGTGAAGGCGGTGTTAAAAGTTATGAGGAAAACCCGGCTGTATAAATCCGATAACGCCATTTATTAAATGGATATTTAATGAGAATTCTATTTTATCCTTAAAGTATCAAATCACCCCGGTGATTTTTCAAGCTGATGTAATAATTTTAATAAGGGACAAATAACAAAGTTATTTACTCGTTTAGTTATATATATATCCGGTATAAGGTAATTTTATACATGTTGAAACAAAAAAATTCGTTCAAAGAACAATGAACACGCAATTTTATTATATTAGTACCTTTTGTGTACATATCAGTGTTCTAGGTAAAAACCAGTACGTTTGTGCACGAATTCAACACTTTTTTGATAGTATTAATTTGAATGTATGTGAAATTCAAAAATATATCGATATATCGCAAAAGAATAAATACATCAACGCGGCGAATTTTTTACATTATATATATTTACAAACAATTAACCATCAAGCGTTATTCTAAAACAAAATATGAATAAAGATAGGTTAATATCGTTGGCATTCTTAAAATCTATGCCATGGAGATAATCGATGCAATAAAGATAATCGATTATAAAATTTGTATAAACAGCTAGTAGTTTCTAAAGCATGTCATTTTTATTCACTACTATCATATTATGTATCAACATGTTAGATTGTCAAAAACATGTAGAATGACCTTTGTTTGTACATGATGTAATAAAATATTATATATCATGGCCTTTGTTCGTACATAACATCATATACTTTTAAATTTGTTATTTGTAGTGGATCAGTCAATTATTGGCATGACACTTTTTCAGTATCTGTAAATAATTTGAAAAGTGATATAAAAAAAACAGTGGAAATGAATTAGGATATTGTTTTGAAATATTTCTTGAAAAGAAAAATCTTGCGAGTTTTAAGTGATTTAGTATGGTTATTTTATGGAAGCTGGAATTGACTCCCCTAGATGCCATGTTCGTGATAACCCGTGTGTCGGCATATCGACATAATTATGTCGTCCACTCTCATTGTTTGATTTGATAATAAAGACATCTTGACAACGTCTGTATCAAGGCATGTTCAAATATATTTTGACCATTATGTAGTTGATGAGAATCAAGAAAAGATATGTCAACATATATGAGCCGCGTCATGACAAAACCAAAACCAACATAGTGCGTTTGCGACCAGCATGGATTCTGACCAGCCTGCGCATCCGCGCAGTCTGATCAGGATCCATGCTGTTCGCTATCAGTTTCTCTATTTGTAATTGGGTTGGTAAGCGAACAGCATGGATCCTGATCAGACTGCGCGGATGCGCAGGCTGGTCTGGATCCATGCTGGTCGCAAACGCACTATGTTGGTTTTGTTATGGCGCGGCTCATATCATTTCGACAAGCCCTATTATATTTCTGCTTCTTGGAAAAATCACCACGTCTTAACATAATGGACACCATCGGAAAGACCTTATTAATATTCGAAAACTAAATCATTCCCACCAAACAAGAGCTAAGTACATTGAATAGTTCATCCTTGAAAGAACTGTTCAGCTTTACCATTTGATAGACACTTCGAAAGGTCAGTTGAGTTTTCAAAGTAATATTGGGTACATATGTCCGTATCTAAAGTGCATTTTGCACATGCGTATTTATCTACCAGATATGTTCAGTAAGTGCTTGCTAAACAACCTAAATTATATACTTACACTCACCATGATAACGACGTTGGGATACTTTTGAAAGGACATTTCAATTAACAGTTAGTGTACTATTCTGTGAATAAGAATTGTACTTATGAAATTGATAGCTGAGTAAATGAATATCTGTTTGGTATATCAAGTTGTATACTTCATATGACACAATGCATTTCGTACACTTTGTAGGCTCCAAAAGCTACTGGTAACGGTAATATCTGGCAGTATCATAGTCATTATTGTATAGCTTCGACATCGTATGTCAGTTTCATACCCATGGACACTATCAAAAGACCATTTGACAACTTTAAAAAATGTTGTTTCGGTTAACAATCAAAGGAAACATTCTGTTTACATGTAAATTTGATTGGATGTTTTTTTGTTTTACCTGTTTTTTAAATAGGAGTACTTAAATATTTTTCATATTATGTCTAAAATTGTCCGCTTTTACATTTTAAAGGGATTCCATTGAGTGTTTTTGACATGACGGGACTGGAAACATTTTAATTAGGCTAGCACAAAAATACGGTTTTCGATTAATTACTGAGAAGATTTCTTACTTTTCTTATGCATTTATTTCTCTTTTAAGTGCCTCAGCTGATCTTTGTTAGAAATTCAAATTTCATGTTTTGAGGTTTTTTTTACCTTAGTGGAGTTCCTTATAGATGTGAGGACTTTTGTCCTTTTTCAAAATAGGCATAGCACATTAGAATGGTTACCAAACACTTTAAGAAAGGGGTTTAAATATCAAATTGTGTCCATCTGTAATGTAGGTTGGTATACAACATTAAAACAGCCGCAAAGCATATTTATATGACTGTTATACTGTAAGTCAATAAGTTACCATAGCCCTCGATGGTTGACATCCAAACAAAGTAAACATACAGGGAAAAGATGGAGGTCTAGGCTGATACATTCGGATGTACATCTTACAACGATGCAACTTTAAAGAAAACCACTTTTTCAAATGGTGCCTAACAGCATAATACTATATTGTTACTGTCTGCTCGCCAAAATCCGAATTATATTGTAAATTGTTTGGCAATACTGACCGGAGACTGATTAATTTACGGGTGGTTTTCCCTTAGTTTCGTATTTCATTACGATTTATTTATTAATTTTAATAATAGTAAAGTCCTTAATTTGCAATTACGACCCGGTGGCTCTGTGGTATGAAGGATAGCATTGCAATCGCGAAGTTGCGGAGTTGAATCCTGAATAAACTCTTTTTAGATTGTTTCACTATTGCTTTTAGTTATACAGCATTATTTGATTAACCATTTCACTTTTCCCCCCGGTGTATTTCCTCATAATTTCAATATGTTATGTCGTACAACGGGTGATTGGCACGCACAAAAACATAGTAATCAAGTTATGCAAAATACAGTAAAAACAAAATAAAAAAATAGAAGAAGAAAATATAAAAATATATATGTTTCACTAAACGTCGATGCAATTTGGGAAATGTTGTTACTAACTTTAAGTTATGCATAAAACAGACTGTTATTCCATACTTTTAAATTAATAAAATTCACTTCGGAATCCAATATTTACCGACAAATGAGCCGTGTCATGACAAAACCAACATAGTGCGTTTGCGACCAGCATGGATCCAGACCAGCCTGTGCATCCGCGCAGTCTGACCAGGATCCATGCTGTTCGCTTACCAACCGTATTATAAGTAGAGAAACTGATAGCGAACAGCATGGATCCTGATCAGACTGCGCGGATGCGCAGGCTGGTCTGGATCCATGCTGGTCGCAACGCACTATGTTGGTTTTGTCGTGACGCGGCTCAGATGGTCATTGAATACTCAAATGTCTCAGGTCGATATTGCCAAACAAAACTTCTGGCTGACATTTGCTCTTTAAGAATAAAATGTACTGCAAATGAATAGCATGTGTATTCAAATGATAAACAGGAAAGTACATTTCGCATGTATTTATTTTGCAAGGTTCTTCATATACAGTATACAAATACACAGAACATATGAATATTAGCTGAACTGTCCTTTCGAAGTTTTCCAGACTGTATGTGTTAATCACAATAATGCTGATATGGTATGACTGTTTTGCAATCAATATGTTTACGTTATCATAGTAAGATAATAACTGATAATAAAAGTACGAAATGCTCAGCAAATAGACACACTTATAAGTACATTTTATAGATTGTACTAAATTGGCCTTTCAAGATCGGAGAGGCCATCAGATAGACTTAATATAGCCGACATACTCTTTCTGAAATGTACTTTTCAAAGCGTTTATTTTAGTTTGTGTCTGATGGCAACGATAAATGCAATTCGTCATTAGTTTTTCTTGATGGGCGAGATTTAGTTTCCGAATATTAATTAGGCTGTCAACTTTTTATGGACAAAAGATATGCCTCAATGCTTTTATTCTGATGTTGCCAAAGTGATTTCATTTATTACATCAAAGCCATGAAAGAAGACATTATGTCGCGTTAATAAATATATGTCGACATGCCGACATTTAAATTATCACGCTAATGGCATCTATGGTGGTCAATTCAACCTTCCAAAATATAATTTATCTCTAGTCTTTTTTAACCTTGTCAATGATGATTTCATGAAATCAATATATTTTACAGAATACATATGTACATTTACCCAGCTTGTTCATATTTCCCATTCATGAAAATGAATTGGTCTATAATGGGCACATATTCCAAAAGACTTTCAAATATTGATTTAAACTTTTGGTTATTCTTTTAAAATAGTCCTTAAAGGCAAGTCTTAAGATTTATTATGAGCATTTATATGCTGAATAATAATATTTTGGTCTAGAACAATTTATCTGATGCGATATAAATATATTCGATATCGTATCATGTATCTCACATGTGCCAACAACATTTGAGCCGCGTCACGACAAAACCAACATAATGTGTTTTCGACCAGCATGGATCCAGACCAGCCTGCGCATCCGCGCAGTCTGATCAGGATCCATGCTGTTCGCTTTCCAACCCTATTACAAGTAGAGAAACTGATAGCGAACAGCGTGGATCCTGATCAGACTGCGCGGATGTGCATGCTGGTCTGGATCCATACTGGTCGCAAACCCATTATGTTGGTTTTGTCGTGACGCGGCTCATTTATATCTATAATTCATGATTTCTTAAATAGTGATTTGTTGTTATGTCTAATACTAAAAACTATCAATGCTATTATTTATTGTATTACATACCAATCCATTTTAAAGCCGTTCTTAAACAATGAGATAGCTGATAATATACATGTAGTTGTTATTTATATTTTCAGGCCAAATGAAACATACAACTTCAATTTGCCTATTGTTGCTGTTGATCTTAAAGTGCTCGTTGTCCCAACGTTTCTTTGAATTGACCGGCCCGTGTTTCACGAGCCGTCGTAGCTGTTCTGGGATCATGTTCGGACTTAATTTACCCGGACAAGTGACGTGTGAACGACGATGTCATTGTCTAGGATATACTGAAGGAAGCTGTGTGAGTGCAGATATAACGGACCTTTGTGCCACAGATAGCTCGTGGATTTGTGTTTGTTCAGGACACGGAATAAGACACCACAGAAGAAGAAGACTTTGTTGATATTCCTGACAACATTAACTTTAAACTTGTTTTTCAATGGGATCTTATATTTCCTAAAATATTGTGCACATGGCATGAATTAAATATTTAATGATCTTCTATGAATAAAGTCTTAAGGTCTTTGAAAAATTATCAGAGAAGAAAAAAAACAGGAATAAAAACAATAGACTTTCTGCGGAAATATTGAACTTCATTGAAAGTACATGGAAATCCATGTTGATGTTGGTTCTTTTTTTTTTCATTTTATTTATTTATTTATTTGTTATTATTATTCTTATTATTATTTTTTTCTCAAAATGCAATATTGTTGTTTGCTAAGTTTAAAGCTGGAGTGGCACCTTTAAGAGTCGAGACTGGCCGTTATGAGGGTCTACCCTTAGATTCACGCTGTTGTCCGTTTTGTGTCATTTCAGTAGACCCTTTTTAAGTGTTCATTATTTGATGATATAAGAAATGAGTTATTTATACATGCAGCTAGGTAAAATAATAACTTTTATAATTTGACAGAGGAACAGAAAATTTATGATTTTACTCTTTACGAATGATGATGCAATCAGATGTTGTGCAAGAGCCTGCTTTCTGATATAACAATGTAGACAGTTGTTTTTTAAGTAGATGATATGTAAAATAGTTTTTAATCCTGTGAATCAATTTTGGTTTTATCTTCCTAGGTCAAACTGTTTAAACTCTATTGCTAAAATACACTTGTTGATCTAAATATGTTTGATTTTATCAAACATATTATATTTTTTTTTCAACCATTTTGTATTGTGGAGTATATTGCCAAATTATTCCCCTTCTTTTTCTTTTACTCATTTTATAGCATTTTAAAAATAAATAAGAATAACAAGAGTATTCTAGTTCTTAGGTCAAATTATATGTGATAATGGTTACAAATGGCTCTTATAAATCTCAGATGGTTGATCTTACATGTATCTTTAATGTATATAAATTTTACGTACTGTATTTGTAAATGTGAGAAAAATACTTAAATTATCGAATTATACTATAATTCACAATTACTAATTGAGCCGCGTCACGACAGAACCAACATAATGAGTTTGCGACCAGCATGGATCCAGACCAGCCTGCGCATCCGCGCAGTCTGATCAGGATCCATGCTGTTCGCTATCAGTTTCTCTACTTGCTATATAGGGTTTGTAAGCGAACAGCATCCATGGATCCTGATCAGACTGCGTGGATGCGCAGGCTGGTCTGTTTCCATGCTGGTCGCAAACCCATTATGTTGGTTTCGTCGTGACGCGTCTCAATTACAATTTCCTAATATTCTATCTCTTTGCATTAAGGCTATTTATCCGAGTATTTTCAATATTATTTATATTCTTTTACTATTTCCTCTATTCTGATAAAGGTTTGCCATAAGGTAAAAGCTTTCTCCTCTGATAGATAACCAGATATGATATACACGCACATATGTTGTTCATTTTTATTTGGATTACTCTGTAAATATTTGTGTATTATACACTTATAAATGAAATAGTTATAAATATTGATGAAATGAAATGCTTATTTTCATTTTTCCGTATTTTCAACATAAACAATTTAGTTTTCACTGAAGTAAAACGCACTTTCCGTATTTTCACTTGTGTCTACCCGGACTACTTTTTTCTAAATTCAGCCAATAGACAAAATTCCAGGGGAAATCATTCAAATAGTTGTGTTTAAAATGTATATTATAAACATAAAATTCAAGTTTTTTCTATAAATACAGGATATATTTTTTGGTATGAAAACTATCAGATTTCACTCGTTGCTTTCCCCGATCCTATAATAGTTATATCATACATGTACCACTTGATGATTTATAGAAAAAAACTTGAATTTGTATGGTATTGTGTTGTTAATAAATTGAAAATATTTATTTAATAAATAAATGAATAAATGAATAAATAAATAAATAAATAAAAAAATAAAATAAAAATAAATAAAAAATAAATAAATAAATAAAAACATAATCGTATACACCAAGATTTTGCGGATGTAGAAATTCTTGAGGTAATGGCAATTCTGACGCAAAATCAAAGTACCTAAAATCAAATTGATTGGAAGAATAGAGACGGATTATTATTATACGGTCATTTGTTGATTTCACTGTTCGCTATTTGACCCTCTGGTTTATTACATATATACAAATATAAATAGAAATGATTTTAAACTGGATACAAAACCAGCGGGAAAACACCCTTAATCAGTGTAATAAGTTTAAAAGAGAAAGTGTTTTATACATATTTAACCATTCGATTAATATAAATTCACCAACTTCCTCATTGTTGCGGTTTTTATTAAAGATTAACGATAATATACTTTTGTATGTAGCAATCCCATACAAACATGCGTATATACCGCGTTTGTTTTTTTGTCATTATGACATAGTTTTTTTCCGCAGTTATAAACGCTTGAGAAACAAAGACACTTTTAAGAAGAAAAACCCACTGACTTTCGGTTGTTAAGTTTCTCTCTTGGAAGAAATTACGGTAAATTCACTTATATTCTAAAACGTATTAACTTGTCTAATGTAATTCTCATTTTCGAGGTTGGCTATATTGTACAAGATTCGAGGGTAATATTGTATCACTAAATTATAGACAATGAGTTTAATCGGAAATCATCGCCAATTATACATTACCAACGGAAAGGGCCGGAAAGATGTGATGTAAGGATTACGGGTTTACCGAAAAATGATAAATGATCTATATTATCACTTACTTTAAAAAAAAACCCAAACCAATCCCAAGTATTCGTAAGAAGTTTTTTCTTCTTCTTTTCAACTATTTTCGCTTCTTGTTATTTCTTGTATATTTAATAAGTTAAAATTGCCTAATTTTATAAATAGATATAAATTTTATGAGTATTACACGTGTTCATGCATCTTATCATTTAATCATAACTATATTAATTATACAGTGTACTATAATTATAATGTAAAACGTCGTTAGATGTCGTTTGAGGTGTTCAGTCAAGTCTTGAATCACCAGCGGCCGACACACTGTAACCTGTAATTTAAAAGTAGCGTTTGCTTAAACTAATAATTAAACAAAGAAAAAGAAAATAAATTACAGACAAGGCATTTATCTGCCCTAGCGAACGAGATATTCAATCTCCCACGCAGTGATCTCCCCTTACAGGATAAGTGGTCCTTGCATAACCGGTGCACGGAGTTTGCTATTGTCCCCATGTATTCATGTTAAGAATATAGTGAACCTAGTCCGTGGCCGAGTTGCTAAGGTCGTTGACTTCAAATCACCGTCCTCTCATCGCTGTGGGTTCGAATCACTTCCTTCGCTAATATTATGTGAAAGTTGCGCGAAAGTAATTATCTTCACTTAATTTATATGATTCAAAACAAACTCTTTTAAGGCATGAATGGTGACATGTGCGGGGTCCATAATCAACAGCGGAAGTTGCTTTTTGTGTTTTAACGGGCGGATAGATCCTCATTAAGCATGTTCTAGATAAATACATGTAGCGGACCAAATCAACTCAAGCAAATAAACAACATTTATCTTTGACGTGCAGTAGTCATTTCACGGATATAAGTCCTTTTCTGACATGACATTTTAATATTTTGTACTGTTGAAACTGTTGCACTATCGATGAGGTTTAAAGTTTTATTTAGTGAAAATAAAACATTTATTTATATTGTGAAATATTAACTACATGAAGTTTTGAAAGATCTATCCGTACATCAGAGGTCGTTGTCTACGTTTATTTAATTAACTAAGTATAAGCAAGATCGTGTCTATACACGTAAAAACTTGAATACATTACATTAAGAATTCTCGTATAGATGTATAGATATTGATTACATGTACACACACACACATATATATATTTATATGACAATTGATTTGTTATTGTTGTTGTTGTTGTGTTTTTCTTGTTGTTGCTGTTTTTGTTTTTTTTGTTATATTTTAACTATCTGAACGCTAGGTGCAATAATGACCTGTCTAATACATATAGGACTAAACCAGTCTGTATATACGTTCAGTTTGTTTGGACTCTTAGTTGTCGTCTGCTTTCTTTACAAATAGTAAAATACTATTTGTTGTTAAGAAGTTGTGATCTATTTGTGGAGATCACAACACTGGGTTGAGAACTTACACCGACTGATATTTAACTTAAATACAGAAGACGAAAGACACAGATGTCAGTATTTTTTTGTATTTTTTTTATTTATTTTTTTTTTGGGGGGGGGGTTGTTGTTGTTGTTGTTGTTTTTTTATAAATAAAAACCAAGATTATTATACATATGTAATTTGATTTTGAAAGTGTAGGTCAGAAACTTCTGCTGAGAATCTTGATAAGTCTCACCCGGTACATGTACACACTCATTCGGTGTAAATACTTACCGTTTATATAAAGTGATAAAAATGTTTACTGTCGAACATTGTTTTGTTCATTTTTAAATTTGTCCGGCAATATAAGTAAAAATCAATGGATTACTAGCTTATTTTGCAATCTGAATCAAGCGTTCTGATTGGTGGAGAAAAGCGGAAGAGACATGTTGTTATTTAAATGTTTCTACGAACGAAAATTTTATAAAGTTCTCTGGAGCGTGAACTAGACACTAGTTTCATTTTGTGCAGAGAATTTTAATATAAATTTCTAGCTTGTGTGAATGTGCGTAGTGGTTTAACTTTCATTTGTGTACGGTGTATACGTGAAATCCATTAATAAAGGTTAAAGAAAGAACACTTATATGAATATCTTCTGCTTCTAAGTAATTGTTTCAAGTGAAATGTCGGCGAGGGTCGTTTATTTAATTACTTATGCCGCGCTTATTATTGGACTGGCAAAAAACAAGGTATGTTAAAAAAGTATTTATAAATTGTTATTGATTAATATTTAATAATAATAATAATAATAATAATAATAATAATAATAATAATAATAATAATAATGCTAATATTAATAATGATAATAAAAATAATAATAATGATAAAAATAATAATAATGATAATAATAGTAATAATAATAGTGATAATAATAAAAAAAGAAATACAACAACAAATGGTCTAAATGTTCATAGATTTTGCTCTTCAAAAATGTTTTTTTAAAAAAAAGTCCTTAAATGCAATATTATGTGGTGCGATATAATATGAATGATATATTCATCTCCAAAGGAAAAGGTTAGCAGTGGCATTGTGGCTAGTCTGTCGACCAGTCCGATGAGAGAACGCCCACAGGTTATAGGGTATAAAGCTATATCGTATGAACTATGTTCATTTTTTTTTGGTTTTACGTCACATCGACACAGTATAGGTCATATCGCGACGTTCCAGCTTTACTGGTGGAGGAAGACCTCAGGTGCCCTTCCGTGCATTATTTCAATCACGAACGGGTACCTGAGTAGAACCATCGACGTTCCGTAAGCTAGCTGGATAGCTTCCTCACATGAAAGAACTATGTTCATTGTCTTTAGAAAGCATAAATTTATGTTATTACCACATTCTTAAAGTCTGTTCATAGCAACACTTTTTTTATTCAACAAGTTCGCAGAGATTCATTATACTGAACGGTGAAATGCATTAAAGAATGGTTGGTTATTAGTTTAAAGTTCGGTAAAATCATGCATTATGAAGATTGGATCGTATATAAATATCAACATCTGTTTAACATTCTGATTAAATTTGTTCAAACTGGTCTATATTAAATACAAGTTCAATTGATTTACGTGTCAAAATCATGCAATAAAATCTTTTAAAGTTGTTTTGAAATCGACCTCGCATGTAAGTGATTATAATCAACGTAAAGACGTTAAGTGTTATTAACGAAAATTGGGAGATTATTAATTAACCAGGCGGATAAACACTCTATGTCAAGTGTTATCAAGAGAGAATAAAATAAATAAGGATGTATCTCCTTCTGACAAGATTGTATGTTAAAGTGTCATACGTCTACATTAGTTCGAGATTCACGTGCTATCATCATTGAATTGAATCATTGTTAGCACAAGTGAATTTGCGGGAAAAAATAACAAAAAATAAAAATAAAACACACACACGCGCACACACACAAAAATAACAACACAAAAAACAGATATCAAATCATAAAGCGTTATATTTAATTATATTGCATTATTGTATGTACTCATATACATACTATACACGAGAATGATTAAGTGACCTTAAATTAGATAATACCTTACCATAGGTGTAAACATGGTTAATGAAAACCCCTTTTAACATGATGCAAACAATTCTTACATTTTTAATGTTAATATTCACTTGAAGTGCTTTTCTTTTTTAAAATTTACTTATTTATTTATTTATTCATTCATTCATTCATTCATTCATTTATTCATCATTCATTCATTCATTCATTCATTCATTTTCGATTGATTTAAGGTAAATGGAGTGAAAACACATTGCGATGTTTGTGAGTTAAAGCAGATTGACAGCTGCACTGAAGATGTGCCTTTGGATTGTAAAGGCGGGTCTCGAACACTGGTTGTCAAGGGAACCATCTGCATCCACAAAGTGTGTGGTTTACTCAAACCTGCAGAGTGTACAATAGGAGGCCGATGGGTCGGGTCGGATGGGAAAGAAGTGAAAAGCATTGAAGAAACGAAGTGTATGTACAAGTGTCATTAATCGACATTAATTTGTCTTAAACAATTGGACCTGACACAAACTTAACAGAAACAATCAAAATGTCATCGTCGGATACCCACGGCCGAACCATTAACATTTATGCATGTTATGTGACATGTTTATCAATCGTTTGTATCCGACGATGTCAAAATGTATATGATCATTGATAAGATTTATGCTAAAGAGATATTTGACGTTTTTGTATGAGGGAAAGGGTTATATTTTTTTAAGAATGAAAAATTCTACATGGTAACTTTAAGTCGATTTAAATCCAACTTTAGGTTCTCACGTTTCATTTTGAATGCATGCGAAAAACTTTTCATTTTAGTAAGGTTAACTACACGGAAGTATAGGTCATGACCTGATAGTGACCCTTCATCAATGACTTTAACACAATATAGTCTTTGTATACCAGAAAACAACAGACCATATACTTAGTATAATTACCAAAGAGGTTAGAGGATCATGCCACTTAATTTGCAAAATGGGGTTTTTATTCGAACATACATAAAAGACTTCTTCACTTTATCAATTACACTGCGAAGAGGTTGTCATTTACTAGTGGATATCGAATCCTGATCCTATAAATAAAGCGTGATAAAATGGTACCTAAAATAAAGTTGCACAATACATATGAAACATGCAGTTTGTTTACCAATTTAAAATGTGTTAACTGAAACGTAATGCTTTCAAAATAACGTATTTAAAGCTGCATGCCTCCAGATTAGTCAACATGTTTCAAGAAGAAGAAAAAAAAACAAATTTGAGAAAAATGCACAAACACTTTAAGAGAAGTAAAAAGTTCAAATTATAATTAACAAGTGTAATGTGAGATAAATGACTTATTTTGCAGTATTTATCTTATCAACATATCTAACGCAGTAAGGGTTATTTTTGCATATATTGAACTTTCTTTTTTTGTAATTTACGAGGATTGTAAATGCCGCCTGCAATCTGTTTCTTACAATTGTTGCAATTACTTTCTTTGTTCACTGCACAATATTTTACTTTTAAATACACTTCCAAAACTTTCATGCAAATATCAAGAATCTGAATGAATCACACTTTAAAGAAGCGGTTTATATATTCACATACCATGTTTTATACGTTTAAATCGCCTTTGTATTTATTTATACAGGCAACGACGAAGAGTTTCAGTTCGAGAAAGAAGAAAAGAAAGTTCGAGTTAAGAGGGGTTGGTTTCGCAGACGACGTCGATCCCCTCCTCCGCCTCCTCCGCGTTAGTTTTATCCAAATATTCTGTAACTGTAAACTGGTCTTTTCTTTAAAGGTACATTACGCCTCAGAAATCCATATATTTTTTCTTTCTTTATTTATTTTAGAAGTATCAAACATGTGTTTAATAATATATTAAAATGGATTAATAGCATGTTCGGTGTTTTACAACTGAAAACGTAACGCTGAACAAACAGTTATTTGTCGTTTAGGAATAAAGTTGTATTCTGACTTCCATACAAAATACTAATTCACTATAAACATACCAATTGCAAACAGATCTAAAGTTTTATCATTTTTAAATCCTTAGACTCTGAGCCTGTATATGATAGAATGACAGAATGATTGACTGCTGAAACGGTTCAAACGGGTAAAAAATCTAGTTTTGGAGATGGAAGTTGGTAGTTAACGGTATAATATTACTAAAGTCACTAACTTTAAAGTTTCCTTTCCTAACAACAGTGGTTACGGGAAAATGGATGCTACCCTACCATGACAGGTAAATATCATCACTGTTCACAGTTTCTAGAAACAACATAAACAAATATTAATCCAAACTTTCTTTTTTTATTTATTTTTCAGCCAATTGTGGACAGCCGGGTACCATTGCGCATACAAGTTTGAGTGTAACCAGTACTTCACAAGGGGGCGTGGCTACATACACGTGCCACTCTGGATACGGACATACAGGCGGCACATTGAGGCGTGTTTGTCAATCCAACGCTCGGTGGTCCGGTAGTCCTCCTACATGCTCATGTAAGTGAATTTAAACTGAAGCATTTTCTCAATCACACATAGTATCAATTCTAGAAATTCTAAAACTAGACATGAATTCATGATGAATTCATGATGTTAAACAATGTATTAACGCTATACATGTATACATGTTTTTGCAACCTTTGACACCCTATCTGCAGGGACCAACAAATGTCTGAAAAAATCTCTTCCTTTGCGGACTAGCAAGCAAATGGTAAGATCGACCATAAATGTCCCCATTCTGTGCTCAAATATTAGCACGAAAGCAATAGCATAACATCACTTGGCTGTGCGGTGAATGGCGGCTGATTTGTGCCATGTCGTATTTACGCTCCTCGGGGTGCCACATGAAAATACGACAACGTAACCACTTTGTCGTATTTTCGTAAGCGACGATGTGTTTTACGACTGGTTATGTCGTTTGTTTCGTTAAACGCCTTTTTAAAAAATCTTCTTATAATGCTTAAAATTACTGAGCTAATGACTATGTTTATTTTTGAATATAACATATTATAACATTGTTTATAAACGCTATCAAAGACTAGGGATTTTGTGACGTCATAGTTTTCACAGTTTTAAAACTCAAAATTTTAAACTTACGACTACATTTAGCAGTCTGATGCTAGATAACTTTGACGTATTAAGATAAAGGTTGTTTGTGCTATAAATTGTAAGTAAATATTTATTCTTTAAATCGTGAATTTTATCAATTTTTAAACAGATCAATAATCAAAACTTATTTGCCTGCTATGGTTAGTGCATTTATACAAACTTAGTAGATAAGATAGAAAATCAACAACTACAAAGGTAAATATACAGAATTTTGAAAGCGTACTTTTAACTTTAAGTCCATCAACTACTTCATACACAAATGATAATCTATCAATAAAATAAAAATAAATCCAATATTAAATGATGCGCAGCACGCATGCAAAAAAATACGAATAAAGGTAGGTCACATGTCTGACAGACAAATGTGATTAAGAGGCTCTCGAATTATAAATACATTTTATTCTGCAATAAATTAAACTAACTCTTGTTTTAATTTTGTGTTATATATTTTTTAATCTCCTTATATTGTTTTCACATTTGTATTCTACCTAAGCCGGCGCAAAGGTGCGTGAACCATGACTTGCATTTTCCAGTACAATTCATGAACAAGCTCAATCAAACCGAGCCTGCAACATTTTCAAGTTGAAGTTTGAAGTTTTGGGCGTGGACGGTAACTTGCATTTTCCAGTACCGTTCATGAACAGGCTCAATCAAACCGAACCTGCATTATTTTCAACTTAGTCGTTTTGGACGTTCTTTGGGGAAATTATATATTTATATACAACATATGCAATATCAGAAAGTCAAAGTTGGCTACAGTGAAATAGACATTATATAAAAAATTATACACTTTAAAATATATTTGTCATTGTTAGTTATAAAAAAAGTGTCGATGTGACTTAAAAATCCAACTGAAAATGTAGTATGCTCATGTAGACCACGTGCTATTTTCCGGCACGTGGTTTTGCACGAACACAGAAAGGGGTTACGATAAGTGCTATTTTCTAATTGAATTGTTTATTATTAAATAAAAAGTTACTACCTACTTAATACGTATATATTTATACGGATGTACCCAATATTACCCTCTTTTGTCTTTATATTATGTATATCCGACATCCTATTTTTGTTTTTGTCTCATACGGTAATGTCGTAAGTGGATTATAAGTGAACGATTGGCCTGTGCATACTGCGATAAAATATTTTAAAACGCAGAAAAAATTTATGATTACAAATGTATTAATCTTGAAATTTCTCACGCGTAACTTTTCACAGCTTCCTTTAAAGGCCCATTTAGCTTAAGAAAAAGCGAATAGTTTTTTTTCTTCTTCTTCTTCGTCTTTTTAAAAAAAAAATTTTTTTATCAAATAGCTAATCATTTGAAGCCTTTTTTGCGTATTTCGAAAGTACAGTTATAGTGATTTTATGGTGGCTGACTTACACCATGTTGAATTCACCACGAAAATGCAAAAAAAAAAACATTCACATTTTCACATTGAGTCAGATACTTTTATATAAAGCTCCATGATTTAATGTGTCGCATTTTTGGTCTTATTTTGTCTTTTCGTCTGCATTGTCGCACCGATTATGCGAAAAAGCGATAACACAAAGATACTTGAAAGTTGTATCCAATTTGTTTGATTCTTCTGCATTTTTTAAGAATTTTGAATAAAAAAAACATGTACACTGTAATCACAATGTTATTTTTGTTTCAGATATGAATTCATGTAGCAGTAGCCCGTGCAAAAATGGTGGCACGTGCCGCAATATCCCAAATTCTTACACGTGCAGTTGTCCGAGCATTTGGAAAGGTTCAAGATGTGAAATAGGTAATTTATGTTATTTCCGTTATCATTTGTAATATTGGTTGTTATTTTTGCTAGAAGAATAGTCAACCGCTAAAAGTCTTTAGGGTCGTTATGTTATGGAAGATTTAACTTTTGATTTTTAAAGAACTCATTCAACACTTTCATTACCAAATATTATCATGTATAACATATACATTTGGTCAATTCAATACAGACATTCAATATATCGCTAATGTACGACCGTACAGTTATCTAGCTAGTTCCCCTTGATTCTCTTTTAAGTACTTACCTTTTTTCTATAGTATTTCAAAACGAAATATTTATATCAATATTAAGCGACAATTAAAATTGGACATATTATTCGTCTATCAAATTTTCAAGGTAGAATATGAATCCAGCATAAACCGGGGTTGTTACAAAGTAACTGAAATTTGTTAGTTC